ATAAATATTATCCCATTATTTCATTGTGATTCAATCAACTTAACGATCTTTATGCTAAATTAATAAACTCCATGTGGTCATAAGCCAATGTTATGAAAATGCATTTCAAGTAATTATAGTAAAACTTGACATGTATGAACCGTGACTTTTTTGGCAATACAAACACATATAAATAATGGTATTTTATGTAAGACAGTAATTAAAATAAAATTATGTCATTTTTATCCTAGACGAATACAATAACGAGATCTTTGTTTTAAGAATCCGAAGGGTTTCAAATCACTTCATACTCGAGCACTTTTGATACATTTTCACTTTTTTTTTTAACTTTGTAATTAAAAAATTACATTATTATGATTTATAACTTAGATTAACGAACTATATTATTTTATTTTAGATTTTTTTTTTAATGCTATCAAGACCTAGTAATTGAAATGTTGGCATAGGTGATTGCTAAAAGACCAAATCGTTGATCATGTTTACTTATATTTTAAATGGAAAATATATTTGAGTTATAATTAAGTTAAAGATTTTTTATTTGGAGTTGAAGGAATATCGATCAGCTACTGCTACGCGAGATTGAAAGCAATAGACAATAGTCATTTATTGCTGACCAATTATATCTATGAACTGGCTAACTTTAGTAACTTTTGTAATTTCTATTAATAGTTGGATTTATATTGTCCCGAACAAAATTTGAATTTGTTTGTCGTATGTGTAATTAAGAGTTGATTTGTTAGTCTCACGTCAAAGAAGGATAGTCAGACAATAATTGTTATTTTATTATATGAGATTCTCATTTGTTCTTTAGATCCATCCAACTATGGAAGATCTTTTTAGGCTGTTCTTTACTTTTGGTAGTTCTGTGAGTATCTGCTATAAAAGATGAGTGTATTAATCGAATCTATATTTTTTTGCCCTTCAGTTATCCCTTCCCACTAGAGAAGAAAGCATCGTCATTGACTTATATAGAATTGTAAGTATTATGCCCTAAATTCAATCGATCTAGGTTGCAAATATTTTTACATGTTTAATGTATTTAATTTTGATAAGATCTATTATTTATTTCAATTAATTTTGTGATAAATAATATTAAATAATAGAATTCGAAAATTCAAGTTTAAGTGATTTGTTAATCACAAGAAATTGTGATTGTTAGATACAAATTACGTATGATTGGATCTTGAATAATCCGTAGTCATAAGTAATAACGAGATACGAAGATCGTTATTACAGATAGACCATCACGTGTGGCATTTATTACTTATGAAGTAAGTAGCTGATTTCACAAGTTAAAATGTAGTGACACTTAAATGAACACGTGGATGTTTTATTATAAAACAAAACATTGGAGATCCGCTAAGAGATTCCACATGAATAACTATCTGAGTGTCAGTGGTTAATCTCTAATGTTCGGTAGTGAAATTGGTCTTATAATTTGAGGTCATCATAGTGCCTTGTATGAGGACAGTCATGCTTTGACGGTGTTGAATGTTACTCTACCAAGGGCCGCTAATACGGCATCGTTCAGGTATGTCAAGAACCATATGAAGGTTATGAATGAACAATAAATGATTCACCACTCTTAGATAGT